GAGAAACATACGTTTATACGCGAAAACTAGTCATCCTTGTGCAAAATTGAAAGTGCGGCTAACTATCTACATCTGGGAGCGATGGGCGTGACTAACTTTGTACCTTGTAACGTGCAAAGTCGTTGTCAAAACCGATGGAAGCTTTTTTTTCTCTCTAATATATAGTATATACATAATAAAATGTTGTAATAGATAGTTGGCCCCCAGTGGCACATCGGTAGTCTGCGGACTTACGTTAGAAACCTGGTTTCGATACCCGTGGTGGGCAGAGCACAGATAGACCGTTTTGTAGCTTTGTGCTTAACTTCAAACAAACTAAATAGATAGTTGTTGGTGAAGGTTTCTAAGAAGAGTGACCTAGTAGAGTGTTTCTCAAACGGTGGGTCGCGAGTAGTTTTCCAGGGGGGGGGGGTCACGAGCTGTCTGCGCTGAGTCAACAATTTTTGTTGTTGTTGTTGAGTCCTCGAGGTGTCTGAGAGGTGCACATATTACTTTGTTATGAAGTATGACGAACTGCGTCAAGAAACATAAAAAAATTGTTCATCCTTGTAGAGATAATGTGGGTCGTCTGGCAAATCCTACTGAGAAACACTGACTTAGTAGACTAGGCACTCCGCCACCCAACCCCTCATGTACAGCTCCAGATTTCCACTTTAACTGCTAGTCTTTAGTTGTTAAAACTGAAAATGACGTCTCCCAATAAACTGTATTCTTTCTAAGATGTTATAATGACTTTAATTATGATAATCACTTGAAATAACCTCAGCGGATTCTCACCTGTTGAAATAATGATGAAATCTTAAATAAAGTAGCGTTTTGACAAAAGGAAAATGTTAAAAGTTTTATCGCCATTCTGTTTTATCACATGTTCGTTTTAATTTGGTTGTTTTACGTTCAATGTAGTCAATGTTGTGTTCGTAGTTTTCCCATGTAGTTTTTGTAACGTCTGTTTAAAGCCTTGTATATGTTTTAGTTCTGTATTATGTGTTCGAATATACATTTACACAAGTTATGTTATATCCTATCAGCAGACAGCGAAACTGTTCAGTCCGAAATCCGTTATGCCATGTGCGAGTCAGTTTGGAAGATCTGTTCTCGATGGTTTCCCATCGCCTTTGGAGACGTAATGAAATAATCCTTCTGTAATCCCGTTAAACACGAAGTAAGTTATGTTCATTGACAGGAATATAAGTTTTCGAAACTGAATCGAGAGGGAGAAAATGTTTGACTTAGATAATAAAGTTCCGGGCAATTTTTATAACTTAAAATTAATAGCATTATCTAAATTCCGTATCCGTTGTGTATTTGGAGTTAATATCAAAGTTACACAATGGGCTACCTGTACTGTGCCAACCGCTGGTATCGAAACTATTTTTTTAGTGTTATAAGCCTTCAGACTTTCTACTGTGCTACTGGGGGGGGGCTTCCATATTCTAAAGGGTATGACATTATGTTCAATTTCTTATCTACCTTAAAAATACATACGACAAGTGAAAACGAAACTTTATTATTATTATATGAATGATTTCTCATTATTTATATTTCTGTTAATATTTAATTTTTTTACCATTTGAATTCTTCTAGAGATAGAGCAGATAAAAATACAGGACTTTTTTTAACACATAGTCTTTACTCTGGCACTAAATTACTCAATATAACGTTTTGCAATCACTTTAATGATACAAACATCTACACATATTTATAATTCAAACATATACAACAACTAGACAAGCAACCTCGGAGGAAAGAACGGAAAACAGGAATATCGAGGATCCTATAATGTCCAAGGTTAATAGCGAAAGACTTATGTAACTAATCATAAGAGCATTAATGAAAATCAGATTATGGTCATTTCCAGAAAGGTGTATAATCTGCAGAGTCACGTCTAATCAATAACTCCGGAGTAAGAAGTAAAAATGTTATCTAGATTGTTCTTTGTGATCTAATTGCTGGCTTATTCTAGATTGTTCTTTGTGATCTAATCGCTGGCTTATTCTAGATTGTTCCTTATGATCTAATTGTTGGCTTATAGCTAAAGAAAAAAACTAAACACCATTAACTTATTGTTATATTTAGCTTTTTAATGTTTGTTTGGGCCTACCAATTGAAGTTTATTGAGCCTTATTTTAATTTCCAATTTTCACCAAGAGTTCGATTTAAATGTTTATTATTTTAATATTGGCGTTTGAGTCAAAACTGTCATCTTAATTTATTCACATGGAAGCTATTTTTTATGAAGGTTATTTTTCATAAAGTTTGATAACACTTTAATAGGCTTATGTCTACCTTGTTTTCTCATAATATTTGTTTTTATATTTGCTGTAACGCGTTTTTTTTTATACTTTTTCACTACATTTTTCTAAATTTATCGTGATAATAGTCCATTTTCGTTTGTAACGTCAACGTATCCTACAAATATTCAGATGTGAGCATGGTCCTTGCGAGTAGGCTGTTACCTTTGAACATACGCTGTACAAAAGTGCAGTTATTGCTGAGAAACAATATCGTGTTGTTTTATTTATTCTTTTCGCACAATTGCTGATTGATTTAAACTAACTTATTCAATGCAGATTTGCTGCAATATTCTTTTCGAAAAAAATTCAGTTGAAAATAAAATAAATTATCCTGATTTGCACTATTTCAAATAAGTTGTATTACTTTTTTCAATTACTTCAATTATCGAAGCAAAATTATATATTCCAGACAGTCATAGGTGATGATGCTTCTTGATGAGGATCCGAAAACTCAGTTCCAACAAAAATGGGCATCTGTAATTTAAAAAAAAATAATAAAATAAAAATTCACATTCTTCATTTCATGAGAACTTTTTATTTTTGTATTTGTTTCTCACTTGTAAGCAAAGTTTGTTGCTAGAAATCAGCCTTAAAATAACTCACTCAACCCCACCAATCATTTTAAGATTTCCGAAGCTTTAAGATCAGGCGGATGTAAGTATAAAAGTATAACTTATTTTATTAATGGAAGTGAAACAATATATCCAGAGTAGAGGATGTAATGTTTTAACGCTAGATATCATTTTGAAAAGGGTAGCACTACTTTAAAGGTAACCACAGTTAACCACGGCTGACTCTTACTTATTAACCATCAAGAAATGAGCTTGGCATAGGAGCATGGACAGTCAATTAAGTAGCATGAAAAGGGATCAGAGGCCGGTTTATCGTTTAAGGCATTTGTGCATCAGTCCACCCTATTCAGTAAATATTCGTCGGTCTTACACAGTGGCTATGTACTAGTCTTCCTACCATACATTGTCGCTGCAGAAACATACACTGTTCTAACAATAGAGAAATATCATTATGTCATACAACACACTGCTCCAACAACAAA